AAAGTGAGAAGATGAGCCATATAAATATGTGAATAAAGAGCAAAGACCCTGCTGCCCTGGCTGGTTTGGCTCAGTGGATAGAGCATTGGCCTGGGGACTAACGGGTTTCAGGTTCGATTCCAGTCAAGGTCACATGCCTGGGTTGCAGGCTTGGTCCCCAGTAGGGGGTGTGCAGGAGGAAGTCAATCCATGATTCTCATCATTGATGTTTCAATCTCTCTCTCCTTCTTCCTTCTTCTCTGAAATCAATAAAAACACATTTTTCTTAAAGAGCAAAGACCCTAAGATAAACAATATATGGCATATTTGGGTAATAGCAAGGAAGCCAGTATGGCTGAGACCCAGAGAGTGAAAGGCAGAGATTTGGAGTTGAGGTAATAGGTATGGAGAGACATCACAGTGACCTTGGAGGCTAGTGGAAGCCTTCGGATTTTACCCTGAGGAAAATGAGAAGCCATTATTAGCATGTTTGAGCAGAGCAGAGAAATGATCTGACTTGGATTTCTGGCCGGTGTGTGGAGAAAGGCCTGAAGAGGAGCAAGAGTGGACATAGAGAGATCTGTTTGGAGATCACTCTTGGCCAAGTTTTGATGCTCAGTTATTTGATCAAATACTAGTCTAGACGTTGCTGTAAAGGTCTTATTTTAAATGTGGATAACAGTCTAAATCTGTAGACTTTAAGTGATTACGGTGGGAAGGCTTCGTCCAATAAACTGAAGGTCTTAAGAGCAAAGACTGAGGTTTCCTAAAGCAGAAGGAATTATCCTGAAGACTGCAACACAGAACCCCTGCCTGCTGGCTTCTCCTGCAGTTTCAGACTCAAAACTGCAACATCAACTCTTACCTAAGTAGTGGCCTGCCAACCTGCCCTACAGATTTCAGATTTGCCTACTATTGAATAAGCTAATTCCTTAAAAAATAAATCTAGATAGATCGATCAAACGATCAATTGATAGAATAGAATAGAATAGAATAGAATAGAATAGAATAGAATAGAATATTTATCTCTTTCCCCTATTGGTTCTGTTTCTTAGGAGAATTCTGACTAATTAAAGGCTGTTGCAATAATCCATTAGAGCAATGGTCAATAATGATGGCTTGAACTTAATAGCAGTGGAGATGGTGAGATATGGGTAGGATCTAGAAATATTGTGAAGGCAGAGCTACTGGATTTGCCCATGAATTAAATTTGGCAAGTGAAAGATACAGAAACGTCAAGAATGACAGCCATATTTTTTACCTGAGCAACTGGGTGAAGAAACTGAGTAGCTAGAATAATAAGTCCACAGCAGAGAGAAGAAGTCAGGTGAGGGAGTGGACAGGGCACCTACTGATGGCATTAAAGTCCTGAGACTGGATAAGATCACCAGTCCTGGTGACTGTAGACAAAAGGAAGTGACCTGAGGACTGAGCTCTGGAGCCCTTGGGGCATTCTAAGGTCTGGAGATCAAAAAGAGAAAGAAAAGCCAACCAAAAAAATTGAGAAGATGGGCCAGTGAAAGTGCCAGAAAACTGGCGAGTATGCATCTCAGACACTGAGTGCAGAGTGCTTTATTCCAGTGGTCAGCTGTGACCATCGCTCCTGGGAAAACAATCAATTGGAGTCAGGGAGAGTCATGGGCTCTGGGGCACCATGGTGGCAGGCATGTAACAGGAAGTCCAATGTAAAGAAAGAAGCCACCCAAACACGCACACACAGGCCAACTGTCACTCACTCTCATTGAGGCATCTACACAGAAACCAGAGTCAGAGTCACTTCCCACGTCCCTAAAGAAGGAAGTGTCCTGAGAAATGCCAATTTACAGTGGCTCGATGGGCGTAGCAGCATGGGTTTGCATCTATGATTTTGATGGATGGAAGGTCATTCATGAAGTGATTAGGAGGATATGGATTGATATGTGAATTTGAGTCATGTCAGGTAGATAAGAAAGTCACAGCTCCTCCCAGGGAAAGAGTGACACAAGATGGGCCCAGCTGGAGGGGCTGGAAGGCGGAGGAGGGACAGACACCATGTGGCCACAGGGGCCTCCGAACCTTACAATGTGTTCCTTGCCCCTTGGTGTGGGGCCAAGGGGGCTGAGCTTGCTCTAGTGGAAAGAGCAAGGATTTGGAAGTCAAGCATCCTCATGACAAACTCAAAAACTAGAGCATATCATGTTTTTACAGATGATGACCTTAGATCACAGAGGTGATACATTTGCCCAAGGTCACACAGGTGGCCAAATCCAGCTCTGGACAGATGGCACGTCATGGTGTTTAGGCTGCGCAGGACTAAGACCAGAACTGTTCCAGCTGTGGGGTCAGAGATGCAGTTTGTCAGGGAGGATTCCATGGAGAATGAGAGGTCGGAAAAGCACCCCTCGCTTCATGGCTTCCACAGGCCAGGCACATGCTAGTCACCTGTCATGCCGCTGGGATGGGGTTTTCCCATTTGTCTGCACAACAGCCAGCCACTATGAGACTGCTCATTATTTCTTCTACTTATTGATGAAGAAAGAAACAGAAGCTCAGCCCTAACCGGTTTGGCTCAGTGGATAGAGCATCAGCCTGCAGACTGAAGGGTCCTAGTTTTAAATCCGGTCAAGGGCATGTACCTTGGTTTCTTGCACATCCCCAGTAGGAGGTGTACAGGAGGCAGCTGATTGATGTTTCTCTCTCATCAATGTTTCAAACTCTCTATCCTTCTCTCTTCCTCTCTTCAAAAAGTCAATAAAATAGATTTAAAAGAAGCAGAGGCTCAGAGAAGCTAAGTAATGTATCTAAGTTCACACAGCTGATAAGTCATTTAAACCCAGATCTTCTTCCCTCCAAGGCTTAAGTCTCTTTTTCTTTTTTAAAAAATATATCTTCATTTATTTCAGAGTGGAAGGGAGAGGGAGAGAGAGTTAGAAACAACAATGATGAGAGAGAATCATTGATCAGCTCCCTAACCATAGCCCTAGCTCTCCTTCATGCTCCACACTGGGAACCAAGCCCAAAATGGGGCATGTGCCCTGATAGGGAATCAAACTGTGACCTCCTGCTTCATAGGTCAATGCTCAACCACTGAGCCACATCAGCCCTTTTCCTATAACACCATGAGCTGAGCAGAGGCAAGAATTGCATGTATAAAACCTGTTCATCCGTCTTACTCTCAGAGTGACTGTTAAAATACTAATACACATGGAGCCACTTTAAAATGGAGCCGAGCTGCCATGCCAGAGGAGTTGCCGGCCATGTCTCAGGCCTCAAACCTTGGGAATGTTCAAACGGGGCAAACTAGCTTATAGGCTGGGCCTGAAGCAGCTTCGTGCCCCAAAGAACAGTTTGCAAGGATAACCAGAGGGCAGAAATTATGACTATCAGACCAATGGCTACCCGACAGAAAATTAAAAACATTGTTTAGAACTCGCATCACTATCTTACGTAACCTGCACTGATAGATATGCCTTCCTCCTATTGATATAATCATTACCCTCCTTTTCTCTTCACACTCCTTGCCTTTGTCTCCTAATCAGAACATGAACTGGGCTTCAGCCTGAACTAATGCTTCCCAAATAACTATGTTTCTACCTCAAATAAATGCTTGTTGCCTTTCTTTGAAAGAGCTTTTATGTTTAGGTTAGCATGATATTAAATACCGTGCTTGACCTCAGTGGGCCTTGGGTCACTCATCTGTGAAATGCAGACAACCATAACACCCATTCTCTAGGACCGAACAAAATCATGCCCATAAAATAGCACTGCGCCTCACACACAGTGAGAAGTGAGAGCTGTTGATCATCGGTGACTATTTTCAGTCCACCGATGAGAAAACATGGAAGAGACCATTACATCCTTCCGCGTCCAAAGAGTAAAGGCTGAAGTCTGGATGCAAAGCAAGACATAGGACATACCAAGCGAACTCTGCTTTCCCCATTTCACCCCAAGATAAGACAGGAAATGAGTTGCAGGCAGGTGGAATGCATCAGTGAAAGCATGCGATGAGATGAGGCCTGTGCGGTAGAGGTGGCCTGAGGGAGCGGGATGAGATGCTAGGCACCCTTCCCTGGTATGCATGGGTGCCTACCACATACTAGGCTCGGTGCCCAGCAGAACTGAGGCCTGGCAGGGGCGCCGTTTACAGCTGCCTGAGCAGGCAGAGGTGATAACGCCTGTGGACTTCACTCTCTTGTCCCTGGCCCAACCTTCAAACATGGAGGCGTGGGTTGTGCATTGCCTAGAAAGCAACTTTGAGCTTAAGGGCCTTGCCGTGGTATGTACCACCCAGAAGAGGGCGAGCTCAAGTGGGCACCATCGTTCACAGCAATCTCATGCGGTGGGTTCCATCACTCCACCCATTGGATGGAAGAGGAAACTGAGGCTTCGTCAAAGCTGTTGTGACTTGTCCAAGATCACACTGCTGCAGGCTTTGAACCCCAGGCAATCTGTCTCCAAGCCTGGGCTCTGGCTGGGGGAGGTTACTGGCTTCTGAAAGGCACAGACGGGTGAGATGAGTCCATCACAGCCTGAGGACACCCAGGCCCTGGTGAGAGATGCATGCAGAGGCAGGCTGAGGGCCTGCACTCAGGCTGATCAGAAGAAGGATGATCCTTCAATAGAGCTGGGAAGAGGGAGTGGAAGAAATGTAGGTCTAGGGACACACAAAAAATTCCGTATCTGCCCACCTTTCCTGAGCCAGCAGATCTTATGCCCAGAGAAGCATGGGCTGGCCTGAGTCAGAGATAGTGAGTCCTCACTTGGCCATTGACTAGTGACCTGGGGCAAGTCACTTTAACTCTGGAGTGACTTTCCCTGTTTGTAACATGGTCTCCCTATCATGTCACTCCTCAGATAGCATGGGGAGGAGCCGAGGAAAGTGGTGTGGTCCGAGGCCCGCCCACAGAGCCCGCACACGTGCCCTGGCCCCCCTCCTTTCGCTCCTTTTCTAAGAATGGACTCTAGGCTTGTCACAAAGTTGGCAGGTGTCTACCCCACCCGGCTGCCCAGTTAATGAGTGACCAGAGTGCATGGCTTATAAAAGCTGCTAGCCGGAGAGGCAGGTAGCAGCTGGGTGGATGGCTGAGGCGGGGTGCCGAGGGAGCAAGATGGGTGGCAGGACTCTGTCAGGGCTTCTGACTGGAGTGGTTCTGGTCCTCCTGGTGCTCCTGCAGAGCACACAGTCAGTCTACATCCAGGTGAGTCCTTCCAGCCAGAATGGCCTTTAACTCAAGGTTCCCGTGGTGGGAGGTTGGGATGGGGAGAGGGTGATGGGAATTCATGGGATACAGGGGTGGTAGGGGGGAACAGGGCCTAGAATTCAGCTCAACACACATTCACTGCCCAGGGACTAGGACAGCTGGGGATGTGGGCAGCCGGTACACCTATGGCTATGGTGATAGTGACAATGGCAGTAATACTAAATGGCTGTTATTCAGCATGACTCTTCTCAGAGACAAGCCCATCCTGGTCAGAGGGCAGAGGATGGAGCAAGGCTTGGAGCCTGTCCTTGAGAAGCCTGAAGGGAGAGGGAGACCCCTGTAGGCTCCCGCAGCTCCCCATGTTCACGCGTGTACGGGTGCAAGGGAGAAGCACCAGAAAATGTCTCCCTGGCAGGTAACATTGCAGGATGAGCTGACATTGCAGGATGAGCAGGAGGTAGCAAGGCATGGAGGACACCAATTCCCCAGTCAGAGGGCACCGCATGGGGAGCAGTCCGCATGGGGCCCAGGTCTCCTTTCATAGGTCTGTAGCGCTTGGTGGCTCCCGCTCCTGCTGGGCAGGGCCTCCAGGAGAAGAACAAAGGGTTCTGTGGAGGGTACCGGAGCACCTCCACCTCCCCCGGCAGCCTGGCCAGCTTGGGGTTGCCATCATTATGGCCTGTCGGTTCAGGGGAGGTCACCCAGTTATGGAGTGTGCCCTGGGTACCAGGCACCAGGGAGGAGGGGACATGGTTTCCTCCATTTGTCAGGTGAGGCGCAGAGTGGGGAAGAGGCAGGCACCTGGTTGGGAAGAGGAGGGATTTGAACTGGGGACCACTGGCCCCCAAAGCCCATGTCTTAAACCACAGCGCTCCACACACAGCCTTGCTGTGGCCTCACCTGGAAATGACTAGGGGCCCGTGGCTGTGGTGTGAAGTGTCAGACACCATCTCGTACTTTCCCTGAGAACAGGGAAGGCTGGGGTCTGGGGAGTCCTGGTCTCAGTCTAGGGTTTTTTTATTGTTGTTTGTTTGTTTTTTGTTTTTAATATATTTTATTGAGTTTTTACAGAGAGGAAGAGAGAAGGATAGAAAGCTAGAAACATCGATGAGAGAGAAGCATCGATCAGCTGCCTCCTGCACACCCCCCAATGGGGATGTGCCTGCAACCGAGGTACATGCGCTTGATCGGAATCGAACCCGGGACCCTTCAGTCCAAAGACCGACGCTCTATCCACTGAGCCAAACTGGTTTTGGCTCAGTCTAGGTTTTAATGCCCTCCCATTTCTCCCCGCCTCCCCAGTACCAGGGCTTCCAGGTCCAGCTGGACTCCGTGAAGAAACTGAGAGACCTCGAGAGGCAGTCGGTGCTCAGCCCCCGCCTGCAGGCCCAGAGCCTCCTGCCCACCCCGTGCTACCACCCGGCCCTGCCACGGGACCTCCAGCCCATCTGCACCTCCAGGGAGGCCGCCAGCATCTTCAAGGCCTTGAGTGAGTGTCCCCGCCCCTGGGAGCTCCCTGCCCTTGTCCCCTTCCTCCCCGCACCCCAGGCCAGGTTCAGTTCCTCCACCTCACCATATTTCTATTAAGTACCCAGCGGCTGGGGACAGGGCGATCCAAGATACACAACACCCTTTCTCCAGTTTGGGCACCAAAAGCCGTGCAGGTCCCAACAACCGGAACCAACTGGTCATCCTCCATCAAAGACCTCCTGGATGGGAGGGAAGGGCCCCGGAAAATGGAGCCGTGCGCACTGACTGTGATGCAGTGACGATGGGGAGCACAGCGGGACACGAGGAGGGGTGACTCACGTCAGGGGTGGCATAATGAGTCTGAAAGGCTTCCAAGAGTAAGGTGACCAGACGTCCCGCTTTTGGCGGGACAGTCCCGATTTTTTAATAATTTGTCCCACGTCCCGTGGCGTTTTAAAAAAGTCCCGATTTTTGGAAAGAATCGGGACTTTTTAAAAACGCCGCGGGATGCGGGACAAATTATTAAAAATCGGGACTGTCCCGCCAAAAACGGGATGTCTGGTCACCTTACCCAAGAGGTGACTTCGAGGCTGAAAGGGAAGAGATGAAGCAGAGCTGGCCAGGAGAAGGTAGTGACTAGCTAGCATTGAGTGCCAGGTCCTTGTCAGCCCTGTGCCTGCATTCTCTCCTCACAACCACGCTGTCCGTCAGGCCGTGACTGTCCCTTCAGGAGACGGGAAACGCAGGCAGAGTTTAAGTGACTTGCCCAGGCTCTGTGAGGAAGGAGAGGGCCTGGGACTTAATCCCAAGATGTTCACTCCGTTTCTAAAATGTCACGCTCTTCATCTGTGAGAAAAGATGCGGGCCCTCTAGGCAGGCTTCTCTGGCCGCCTGGCCAGCAGCTCCCTGGACCACAGGTGTTTCAGGTTCACGTTCAGCTGACCGGTTCTCTCCCCCTGCCCAGAGACCATCGCCAACACCAACTGTGAGCTGTGCGTGAACGTTGCCTGTACCGGCTGCCTCTGAGATGGCCCTGGATATCCGGCGCCAGCCCTGGACACCTTGTCTCCCCCCACCAACCACTGCCTTTGCAGCCTCCCCCCCGCCCCCAAGCTCTGGCGGTGCCCTGGCCACCTCGGTCATTGCCACCCTCCCAGGACCAAATCCGCTGGTTCTGGCACAGAGCAGCGTGACTCGCAGTTGGAGGAGAGTTTGGCCCCTTAGAAAGCCCTGCTGCTGAATAAAGATGCTCCACCCACACGTGAATCAGAGTCCGTCTGTCTATCCCCGAAGCCAGGGGAGGAGCTTCTTGGGAGTTGGGTGGGCTGAGGACACAGTGTGGGCCAGAGTTAGGAATCCCCAGGTTTCCAGCACCCAAGGAGCCTGTTCACTAAGTCCTGTTTGGTACAGAAGGGAGTGAGCTCAGGGCAGGAAACAAGGCACCCATGCTCCACAGAGCACCCAGACCCACCTACCCCAAGCTGAGCTCAAGGCCTGGCCTCGCTGCAGGGCCAGAGCTCTGAGTTCCTGATGGGGTGGGGGGAGCTCCCTTGCTTAACTGGGACAGGGTGGGTGGAGGAAGGATCACGTGATGCCCCCTCCAGTCCCATCTCCAAGCTGACTGACCACGTGCTCACGGTGCCTGAGAAGATGGGCCCTTAGCTTTCACCCTCGGTGTCCCCTGGCCCCAGATGGGAGGTATTTCCTCCCTGGGCCCTGGAGAATATTAATAACAATAGCCTTCGTTATTGCGCTTTTGCTTTAGCCTAGGCCAGTGGTGGGCAAACTGCGGCTCTTCCACAAAATACCACGGCCTGGGCGGGTCTATTTGGAAGAAGTGGCGTTAGAAGAAGTTTACGTTTAAAAAATGTGGCTCTCAAAAGAAATTTCAATCACTGTCCTGTTGATGTTTGGCTCTGTTGACTCATGAGTTTGCCGACCACTGGCCTAGGCGCCAGTCTAAACCCTTGGCACGTGTTAACTCACTAAGCCTCACAGCAGCCTGAGCAAGCAGGTACTGTTCTGAGTGGCATCTCCACTTCACGAGGAAGTACACCGGGTTCTGAGAGGACCAGTCCTGGCACAGCAAAGCGGTAAAGCAGAATTCTTCCCGCAAAGTCTGGGCCGGAAGCTGTGCTCTGAAATGCCATGCTGTGCCTCCCCGTGACACCGGCCCCGGCTCCTGGCCCTCAGCCCCCGGCCCCCCGCTCCCCGCCTCCACATCTTCCCTCGCAGTGGCCTCTGGTGCCATAACTCAAGGCCAGAGCGGAGCTGGGAATTCCCCAGAGTAGGGCCTTTCCACAGCATGGGGTCCTCCCCAGCTTCTGCCTGGGGCAGTGAGAGAGGAGGAAAGTTGGGTACAAAGGAGCTGGGGCCTCTGAACTCAGTCCCCGCAGCCCCGCTCTGGACCAAAGCAGCAAGAATCCCCCCAGAACTCCACCCCTCCTGATCATCCAGTTCTGCTACGAGTCCCCCCCCCCTCCCCATCTCCTAGCCCGCCAGGCCGCAAAAAATCCCCGAAGCTCCAGCCCCTTTCCCTTCCTACCCCACAGGCCCTTGCAATGCCTCCTGCATCTGTGAGAGGAAACAAGTCATCTTTTCTGTCAAAGAACAGTTTAGACAGCCGCCATTTTGGACCGGGTGACTTGGCAGCCGCCATGTTGGCTGCATGGCTTGCAGCTCTTTGAATTAGCCAATAGCAAAAGACTGGGGGCCGCCCTTTGAATTAGCCAATAGCGAAAGACTGTGCACCTGAGCTCCAATCAAGAGCAAAGGACAGCCGGAACCGGTTTGGCTCAGTGGATGGAGCCTCGGCCTGAGGACTGGAAGGTCCCAGGTTCAATTCCGGTCAAGGGCATGTACCTTGGTTGCAGGCACATCCCCGGTGGGGGCTGTGCAGGAGACAGCTGGTTGATGTTTTTTTCTCATCGATGTTTCTAGCTCCCTGTCTCTCTCCCTTCCTCTCTGTAAAAAAATCAATAAAATATATTATATATATTTTTTTAAAGAACAAAGGACAGGTCATGTGTCTCAGGGATTATAAAGCCAAGCAGCCCAACTACTCGGTGTGCACGCCTTCCAGACCATGTGTGTGCACCCTTCTACGTAGAAGTTAATATGTGTGTCTGGCTGCCTGGCTCCTGAGTGTTTTGTATTCTACCAGAACCCCTGACTTGGGGGGCTCACCTAATTTCTAGCACGTCCCTCTGGGCCGCTCTCATCTCTACCATCACTCGAGGTGGGCGTTTAGCGCACTACCCCAGACCAGGACAGAGCTTCCTCCCTGCCCTTTCCATCCCCACCACCTTACCCTCCCTGCGTTCCTGGCACCTCTCAAGTCTCAGCCAAGCTCATGAGCCACGTGGCCTCCTCTCCACCAGTCCCTCCAGCCGTTCTGGGTTCCCACCTGCCTGGGGAGGAGGCAGTGAAGGAACTGCCACTGACCAAGTGTCCTTCCTGTGCCAGGCACAAGGCTGAGCCATCCACACAGAAAGAAGAGCAACAATGAGAGCATCAACGAAGTGCTCACCGTGGGTCCCGCGGGGGGAGCCTTAACAGCTTTTCCTGCATCACCTCATTTACTCTTCCCTCACCCACGTTTTATTTAGGGGTGAAAAGAAAGGCTTTCAAACAACTCACTTCTGAAAGCTCTAAAGGTGGAATCTCTCCTCTCTCCCCACCGCCTTGTCATCCCCCGTTTACAGGTGAAGAGCCCGAGGAAACGGCCCAAGGGGCCTGCCCACAGTCTGGCAGCTGCGAACAGGTGGCGCCAGGACTCACGCCCGGAGAGCGGAGAGCAGAGAGCGGGCTCCAGGGCAGGAGCATTACGTGCTCCTACGCCACCACAGGGCTCCCCCGATGCCCCTGCCGCCTGGGAGGCAGGGTCTGCCATCCCCACTTGTGGCTGAGGAAGCCGAGTCTCAGAGCGGGAGCACGGCTTGTAAAGGACACGCTCAGGCTCCAACTCAGCCCGTGTGCCTCCCGGGCGCCCTGGCCGCCTGACTGCAGAGAGGGAGTCCGCCCACCCAGCGCCAGCAGAGCCGAACACTGAACACCAACAGCCGCAGGGGATAAACATTGGCTATTTTATGGTGAACGTGCTGCCCCGGAGAATGGGAAGCTAATGCTCAGAAGCCCAAACTCCCCGTGGACGGGTAGGTTACAGATGATAGAGGGCAAATCGCAAGGCACGGTGGGTTCCGGGTCCAGGGCTGTGCAGGCACACCCCGAGGAGCACTCTGGCGTCCCTCTGCCCAGTTTTATGGGAAAGCAGCCAGGGAGGCCTAACGCCTTAGGATGCAGGAGCTGGAACACAACTTAGGTCAAGATAGTACCTTTAGCTTAGCAGAGCCCACGCCTTGTGACCCTTAGTGAGGGCTGTGCCGCTGTTTCTGGCTGCCCCCGGGGTTAATGACTAGAAGGGAAGGCTCAGGCTTACGGGGCAGGCTGGGAAGAGTGCTGGGGCAACATAGTCAACAGAAATCCTGCACTGAATCAGGACCCCTGGTGTCACCCAGGTGAGCCGTTCCAGTGCCTTGGCCCTTCCTGCTTCTGTGTGTGTGTGTGTGTGTGTGTGTGTACCAACCGCACCTTCTAGAATACCCTCTGCCCCCATCTCCACACAGGCTTTGAAATTCCATCCATCCCAATGCAAATCCCAAGAGCTAAGCAAATGCCTGCCTCCCCTCCCCTTCACCAAGCCTTCCCTGACTCCCAGGACATCGTTCTCTGAATTCGGCAGCCGGGGGTACCCCACTTGGGTCACCAGTTCCCCTCCACCCTTCTCCCCAAGAAGGACCCAAGAAGGTCGCCTCCTCTTTGCTCCTTCCCTCTACCTCTCTCCACCCCTCACCGCCTCACCCCTGCCTGAGCCATTCTCAGCTTGACCCTGCCTCCCCTTTCTTTGGTTTGTTTGTTTCTACGGTTTATGGCGTTGGTATGTTTGCATATAGCCTGAACTTTACATACATCATACACACACGTTTTGCATGCGGCACTGCCCCTGGCCTGGGAGGCAGGTGCTGTGGCTACCCAGTCTTCCAGAGGAGGAGACTGAGGCACAGAGAGGCAACGCTCCTTTTCTGCCATCACCCGGCAGGTGGAAGACCTGAGACTCGAACCCTGTGGCTCTTGCTTTCCCCTGCTCTGTGACATTCTCATGCAACCATCCACGCGGCAGGCCTCACCCGCTCTGGGGAGCAGAGAGACTTTCCCAGGCACAGAAGCCATTGCACCTCAGAGTGGCCAGAGCTGTGCAAGGGGTGTGGGTGGCCAAGGTGCCTAGGGAGCCCCGAGGACAGAGTGGGAGCATGAAGGCCCCCTCCTGGGCGGGCGGGAAAGCCTCCTGAGGAGAGGCCCTGGGAGTGGAAGGGTGGGGCCTGGTGGGACCTGGGCAGGGGTGTGGGGAGAGGAGTATGCAGTAGTGAGACGGGGAGAGGAAATGCTGAGAGCTATGACTTTGGAAGGGGGGAAGAGGGTATGGGGGGGAGGGGAGGAAGCAACACTGAAGTGATCAGAGCAAGCCAGACCCTGAGGCACCTGGAATACTCTAGAGCTCAGGGCCAGTGCTTTGGGCCCTGTGACCCTGTGCAGAGATATGGCTTCCTGACTTTGGTGGCTCCAGGACGAGTGAAAGAGCAGAGGTTCCACCTCCTCCACTGCTGGTCTGGAGAGTCAGGTTCCCCGGTGCAGGGAGAGTGGGGTCCTTGTGCTTTACACTCAAGGCCCTGAATGTGCGAGGGCAGGTAGGCATTCACGAAGCTGGGTGATGCATAGACTGAGAGGTGAGGAATGAATGAAATCAACGCCAGGAGTACTCTGGAATCTGGTTTATTAGAGGCAGGTTGGAGAAGCAGCCAGCAGCTGGCAGCTCCGGTGGGTTCAGGGGCTGGGTCTTCCCAGGCTGCTCTCTCCTTGGTCCTCCATGGGGGGCAGGGTAGATTAAGATGCCAGGAGTGGGAGCATTCTGCAGGGGAGGGACAGAAGACAGCAAGCCCCTGCTGTCCTAGCATCCAGCACAGGCAGCATAGGCACAGAGCTCGCATGTGCTCGGGTCCTCAGCGATGGCCTCTGGACAGGAGAGATGGGGCCCCATGAGCATTAGCTTCTCTTCCCCAAACCCCTCCCCCCTCCTTTGAGCCAGAGCTAGGACATCTGCCACCCAGCTCCCGGGAGAAACCCAGGCCTGTCCTCTATGACCAGTTGGGCTTCCTGCCTCAAACCAGGACATGTGCCGCTCAACCCAGCCAATCAGAGCAGCGTTTCCACCCAGAAAAGAGCTACACCGTGACACGGTGCTACTTGCATCAGTCAGAGCCCAGACCTTCCTAAAGGAAGCCTTGCCAATTACAACCAAGAACTAATTACAGCAGAGGGCTTCCCGTGACTCACCCCTCCGAGCAGAGCCCCGCCTCTGAATCCCACCAATCAGAGCACTCCTCTTCTTCAAGTGCCACCAATCAGGGAATGCCCCACCCATCAGACAGGAGGCTACTCACCCAGCCTCCTGAGGATCTCATTGGCGTCGGGCTCCTTGCAGACAGGCTTGATCTCTGCAGGCAATTTACCAGAGCTACAGAGGGCGGGAACCGCAGGTCCGTCAAACTGAATTCCGTTCCCAACGCTGGGCTCCTGGAGCTCCCGCAGGCCCTTGAGCTTCTTCACTGACTCCAGAGAAAAGGAGAACTGTCCATCCTGCGGGAGACATGTCCAGAGCATGAGGCCAAGCTGCAGCCTGCTCCCTGACTGTTTCCTCCGGGACTGGCCCCCTCTCCAGCCCCAGCGGCTCAAGCAGGGCTAGTGGCTCATGGGAACCAGACCCTCCTCTCAGGGCACCATGAGGTAGTAAGAGCTCGGGCCTCAGAGCCGGACAGTGGGCTTGGACCCTGGTTTTGCTCTGTGCCCATTCCCGCATGTTAGGAGGAATGGAGGAAATGGATGTGATGTGTCTGGGACACAACAGGTGTCCGATATGTGGGAGCCATGGTGCTGATTTTCGGGGAGAGGTACGGAGCTGGGACCAGGTTCCGCGTGGCCACGCCCACGCTCTTTTCACCCCTGACTGACAGTCACGTGGGCTGCTCACCTGGCTCCCAGCTCCTGCCTGCAGCCTGGCTGATGTTTGAGAAGCAATAAAAGCCCGCCCCCCCCTCCCCCCCAAGCCTGGCTGAGATAGAGGGGGGCCCCTGCAGGGTGCATCCACACTCAAGGAGACCATATGAGTCCTGAGATCCAGGCCCGTACTCAGTCTGAGGACAGGACTAAGAAGGAAGGTCTGGAATTGAACCTGAGGCAGGATCGTCAGAAGCTAGGCGAATTCCTTGGCAAGTGGAATTGGGAACTGATAGAACTGAACAAATTGGTAGAGCAATTCACAGCCAGATACAGACGGTCACGGGGGCGGGGGGGGGGGGGGGGGGAGCCGGGGCGGGGGTGTGCACTAGCCATGGGCAAAACTGGCACCGGACCTGGCCCCCCAGGGAGCTCTTCCTTCCCCTGGCTTATCACCAATCATGCCTGACCTTTCCCTGACCTTTCCTCCCTAGAGATAACATCTAGGCCTGGGTGTATTTCAGCTCTAGGCCCAGAAAAGCAGCAACACTAGTGCTGGTGACTCCAGGACTAGCTGCAATAACTAATGAGCCCTTGCCTGGTGCTGTCCAATCAATAGAGACCAAGACCCTAAATGGATACACCTGGAAAAGCTGATGACTATTCTATTGAGATCCTCCCCTAAGACTTCCAAACTCCCAGCCTTTAAAGCCCTCCACACAAAGGTCCCAGCTTTTCCCTCCCCCCTTCCCCACCTCCATTCCCACCCCTCGCCCAGCATGCATCTCCTAAACTTTAAGGGTCCTCAGGAGACTTGCAACCAGGGGAGCAATGGGCAGCGGCAGCTCGTCCTGGTCTGACCCCCTGAACCTACGTCCAGGGTCCCCTCTTCTCTGACTCTCCAGGGAGCTAACGGCAGCCCCACCTTGGCTCACTTCCTTCCTATAAGGTTCCTAGAGAGCCAGAGCCACCTGCCTAGTCTCCTTTTGCTTCTTCTATCCTAGGCCCTTCCTTGTTTCACTGTCCCCAGCTTTAATAAACATCCTCTCAAAACACCTAGTCTCGCGTTATGACATCTTCCCTGCACAAAGACAAGAACCCACGCACTGCAGGCTGGCCTGAGGCAGACCTGCTCCCACCCTAGTCCCCTTTCTAGTGACAAATCCAGCTCCAAAGAGGGGGTGCTCTCTCAGGGCACCGGCCCTGTGTCCTGGGGTCAGAGAGCCGGCCAGGCAGGGAAGGGACAGGACTTACCTGCACAGTGACTGCCCCTGCCAGGGCAGCGCAGGCTCCCAGGAGGCACAGAGCGGCGAGCGGGAAGGTGTTCATGGCAGCCGTGCCCGAGAGAGGAGTGGCTGGTCCTGGGTGCCAACGGGAAACAGTTGGGGCTTTTAAAGAAAGCGAGGTTACTGAGTAACCCGGGAACTTTTTGGCAGGCTCATCTGCTCACCTGTAAATTAGGGCCCAATCAATTAAGGCTCAAGACAGTCCTGGCAGATAAGAGATCAGTCCCCTCCCTGGGTCTCATTTTTGACCCACAGCCAGCTGGGTCCCAAAGTCACTCCCAACCACATACACTCGCTGACGCTGCTCTGGGCCAGGTCCCATGCTGAGGCAGGTCTGTAGACCCAGCATGGTCCTTGGGGAGGGGTCCCACACAATGCAGGGTGACCAGGGGAGGGGAAGGGGGCTCAGGGTGGAGAATGGAGGGGCTCCTCCCCCAGTCCAGGGGTAGAGCAGTTCAGGAAGGTTTCCCACAGAAGGGCATGCCACTGCCCAGTTCTGGTGAATGGGTGGGCATTTTCTTAGAGAAGGGGTGGGCATTTCTTACAGAAGATGCTGCATTTATGACAGCCAAGGTGAACTAGGCCTGGACTGTTCAGGGAAATGGAGTTCTGCAGCCGGGAGGGGGTGCGGAGGGAGTTTGGAGAGGCTTCACGTGCCGAGAGATGAGGCTGCGGGCCAAGGCACTAGGTGTGGCCACTGTGACTGGGAGGAAGGACTCAGCTCTGCCATCCACAGGCCCAGTTCAAACCTTACCCACTGCCCAGCTGCAATGCGTGAGAACTTGGGCAAATCGTTTCCTCTCTCTGAGCCTCATTCGGTGTCCCTTGTGCCCTCTTTGGGGACTAATACTAATACCTGCCTCATGGGGTTATTTTTGTCAATAGCGGCATCCACTTCTGGTCCCCACTGGCCTCTCTAGGGACCTGCCCATCCAGAGCCACAGCCTGTCCTCATTTGCACTGATTCCACTGTCATGCCTGTCCCTCAGACTCAGATTATCTTCAAATGAGCCCCTTCTCTCTCCCTCGCAATTCCCTTCCCCCCAGTTTCCCCAACCTCCTCCCCAGTCCTGCTGTTTCTACCTGCTGACCAGCCCCCATGTGTGCCCTCCCATTCTGCTTCCCCTCCCCCACTAGCCCAGCCTACTCCCCCCACACACACACACACACACATACCCTGGCCCTTCCTGAGCATGCTTCCTCACTGTTGAACATGCTGTTCTGTCTTGTCCCTAGGCGAACTCCTACTCAAACTACAAGGCCCTGGTCAAATAACCCCCACTGCATCCTCAGCTAAACCACTTCTCTTCGTCCCCACAGGACTCAGTGCAGTCCCCTCTGGGGATCTTGCTGAATGGGATGACCTGGCTATGTGTGTCTGCCCCTGAGACTCTGACCCCCCTGAGGCCTAGCACAGTGTGCGTTCATTGTGTTCTATTGTGAGCAGGGCCCCAGGACAGGGAGGAAGGGAGGCCCAGGAGCTCCATGGTTATAATCTACAAACAAACCTGGCCAGAAGCCAGGCAGGGGCCCTGAGCGGGCTGGGGGTGCGGAAATCCCTGGGTGTGGAGAGTCAATATTGAAGGAGGAATCAGAGGGGCAGAGCCCAACCAGAAGGGAACTACAAAGGGTCCGGCCCAAGGGAGGGGCAGGAACACCTGCTCTAGCTGCCTTCCCAGGTCCCTCTTGGAGGAAGACTGGCCTTCCTCCCCTTTCTGGGTGTGTGTGTGTGTGTGTGTGTGTGTGTGTGTGTGTGTATCTATGTGTGTGTGTACTGAGGTGTGTGTATGGACACTGAACTGTATATTCGCATGCTGATGAGTGTGTGTGTGTGTATGTGTGTGTGTGTACTGAGAGTGTACACATATGCACACTAAACTGTATATGTGCATGCTGATGAGTGTGTGTGTATGTACTGAGGTGTGTATGGACATTAAACTGTATGTGTGAATGCTGATAAGTGTGTGTGTGTGTGTGTGTGTGTGTGTGTGTGTGTGTGTTTACGCTGAGGTCTACACATCCAGTCCACCCACGTGGTGGCTGGTGCTAGCTGAGAGCCGGTGGGAGTGAGCCCTGGGGCGGGGGGAGGTGGAGAACATTAGGGTGATGGGTGGAATTTAGTTGAAGGTGAGGCTAGAGATGCCCTACTGGCAGCACTTATTTCCATTGGGAGGGAGGTCAGCACCAGGCACAGGTCAGGAGTGCAGCTAAGGGTGCTGCTGGGGCTGGGGGTGCGGGTGGAGTTGAGCAGGCGAAAGCTGGGTTCGGTCAGCCATAGGTTACAGGCTGGGCTCCTTGGTGGGGCTGAGGCTGAGCGGATGGAGTGGGCATGTGGCTGGGCTGAGTGTGCGGTGAGGGTTGGATCTGGGACTGAGTGTGAGGCTCCAGCAGAGCTAGGGCTTGGTTTTGCACGGAGGATGGGCTGAAGGAGCCCGTTCCTGGCTGGCTTTGATCTGTCCATCTTGCCTCTCCTGAGGCGGCAGGCTGGGGATCCAGGCAGGAGCTTTGGTGCCTGAAGCCTCTTCTTCCCGAGTGCCCTGCCCAGGGCTGACCTGGCACAAGGCAGGGAGCGGGCGCCACAGGAACCCACACCATGGGAAAGAGGAAGTGGCACCTGGGCTCTGCCCTTTGGGCCCCGCCCTACCCAACCCTGGCCCTGACATCCCCCTGGGAAATGGGAACAACTACCCTTCCCTGGCTCCCCTAAACGCCGCCTGGCCTGTGTCCAGGGTGTGAACTCTGGCCCTCTCCTTCCCCCACTGCAATGAAGCTGCTGGGCACTGAACTTGGGGTCCTCCCAGCACCCCAGGCTTCCTGTCTCCCCGCCCCCCTCCCACACACACACACACCTGAACTCTGAGGCATTGGTCCCCAGCACTCCCCACCCTTCATCACTCCTTATTGGTGGCAGGTGGGTCTGGGTAGTTAGGGCTTCCCCATCCAAGGCCACCTCTTCTGGCAAATTCTTACTCCTCCATGGCCTTCTGGCCGTGCCACCCCTGCCACCTGCCTCCGCATCTGAAAACCCATCCTGCTGCCGGAACCTTCAGAAGAAACCTGGACTCCAAGGCCCTTCATGATCAGGCCCCTGCTCACCCTCAACCAGGACTCCTTGGAGGGAGCCAGGAAGAAGACTGAGACCAGGGGAGGGAGTGTGTGCTGTGGAGTCAGGCAGCCCTGGGTATGAGTCCAGCTTCGCCAGTGAACAGCGTGTGACCTTCCCAAGCTTCAGTTTCTGCATCTGAAAAATGGAGGCAATAGCACCCACAGTGTGGACTTCAGATTGTCTAGAAAACCTTCCTCACTGATGCCCGGCCCAGCAAGCCTGGGTGAGGACCGTCTCCCCCTCCTGGGCTCGGCTGGCCACCTACACTCTCCCCTATAAAACGTGGCAACTGTCTGTCTTGACCGCCGTCCTGCCGGCTCCTGAAAGCAGAGCTGTCTTGCTCGGTTGTGGCCCCAGAACTTGCACAGGCTGGCATGTAGGGCGTGACATTGAGCCCACAGGGGAGAAGAGCATGGCGGTATTTTATATAATAAAGATGTATAATATTATGCAAATTGACCATCACACTCCAATACACAAGATGGCCGCCCCCATGTGGTCAAAGATGGCTGCCCCCATGTGGACACAAGATGTCTGGCAAGGAAGGAAGTTGGGGGGGGACTCAGGCCTGCAGGGGCAGGCAGTTGGGGGGGACCAGGACTGCAGGGGGAGGGAGTTAGGGACAATCGGGCAGGCAGGGGAGTGGTTAGGCATAGATCAGGCTGGCAGAGGAGTGTTTAGGGGGTGATCAGGCTGACAGGCAGAAGCGGTTAGAGACAATCAGGCAGGCATTCAGGCAGGTGATTGGTAGCCAGCAGTCCTGGATTCTGAGAGGGGTCCCAGATTAGAGAGGGTGCAGGCTGGGCTGAGGGACACACATCCCCCCCCCTCCCCCCTCCCCTTGCCCCTCCCCCTGTGCACAAATTTCGTGCACTGGGCCTCTAGTTTGTAATAATCACAACATTAACAAGAGCCATGACCAGTACTGGCTCTGGGCTGAGTGCTTTACAGGTGTGGGAACCAGCCCCAGCCCCTCACTCAACTCCCAGCAGTTCCCAGGGCTCCCCATTGCTGGCCGCCTGCCCTCTGATCTGGATGAGGAGGCAGACGCTCTGCCTGTGGGCCCACAGGCTGTCTAACTCTTGGGTTTGGGTGATCACAACATGGCTCCAGGGCCCCCTGAGGACCTCCCAGGCCTGGCTCTGCTTCCCTGCAGACTGGCCCCTTTGCTGAGCCCAGCAGGAAAGACGAGGTGAGCGCCCACGCTGACCTGGGTGACCTTGAAGAGGGTGTGGCCCACATTTTGCAGCCTCCCCATCCTGCTTCCAACATCCTGGTTCCTCTGAGAGCCCAGAGCTGCCTGTCTGAGAGGGACGTTATAATGTCTGTAAATCTCCTAACAGCTCTGAGAACTCTTAAGAAACAACCCGAGTAAGGTGACCAGACGTCCCGCTTTTGGCGGGACAGTCCCGACTTTTCAACAATTAAAAATCGGGACTGTCCCGCCAAAAGCGGGACGTCTGGTCACCTTGCCCTAGAGCCCCACTCTATATATAGGTGGATAAACTGAAACCGAGGCCCAGAGAAAGGCTGGGAAACCACGGCTTTTCCAAGGGCACACACGGAGGTGCCCTCCACAGTCATATTGGGGGAACCCTGCACCAGGGCACCCCGCCAGCAGGAGGGCAAACGTGGGACTGCCTTCGCCGAGGGGGAGGCACAACTTCCAGACTCATTGCTGGGGGCTTGGTGGCGACTTCGGTCTCAAGCTGGGAATTCCAGAACAGAAGCGAGTTCTCACACATGCCAACGGAAAGCTTCCCCTCAGCCCACACCCCCTGCACGGCTCCAGGCCCGTCCCCAGCGTTAGGGAGGGGGAAGAAGAAAGGATTGGCACTGGTCGATGATGCCCGCTGCACAGGAGGGAGCCCAGGCCCTCTGAGTGGGTGCCAAGGTCACACAGAGACCAAGCAGCTGAGTTAGCATCAGAGGCCTCTGGCTGGAGCCAGGCTGGGGTGCAGGGCTCCCCCCGCCCCCTCCCCCCAGGGCCCTGGGGTGAGC